GGCCAGATGTAGTACCAATGCCTGTAACTATAACAGTTTCAATGCAGAGGCAGGAGAATCATGAGTTTAAAGTCATTGACAGCTACATAGCAAGTATGACGCCAGCTGAAGCTACGTTAAAACATGCCTCAACATTTTATTAAAATTAAGTATTTTTAAAAAAACTGGCTTAAACCGGGCATTGGTGATGAACGCCTTTAATTCCAGCACTTGGAAGGCAGAGATAGGTAAATCTCTAAGTTTAAAGCCAAGCTGGTCTACAGAGCAAGTTCCAGGACAGCCAGGGATACACAGAGAAATCCTGTCTTGAAAAAAAAAACAAGAAGAAAAAGTTAGCTTACTGATTTGTATTTTATGTGTATGAGTGTTTTGCCTGAATATATGTCAGTGAACCGTGTGTGTGCAGTGTCCCTGGAGGCCAGAAGAAAGCACAAGATCCCGGGGACTGTAGCTACAGATGGCCGCGATCTGCCAGCAGCAAGCACTCGTAACCATTTAGCCAGTCCCAAGCTTACACATTTAAAAAAAATAATACTAGAAAAGCAAGCCCAGGGTGGCAGTATAGAAAAAGAAAATAAGGGGATGGAGGGGAAGATGGAGCCTCCAGGAGACAGAGGAGAGAGAAGAGCCAAGGAATTTTCAAGAACAAACAGCAAAAACAGGAACTCAGGCAGGAAGTTGGGAAGGTGCAGTTGTAATCTGGAAGGAGCGGGGGCAAGCTCACATAGGACTGGCGCTGGTGAGGGCCCACTGGGGACTGCTTAGGTGGCTGCTCTAATGAGCCTGGCTGCTGTGGCCTGAGGTGTGACTATGCAGGGCGCTGAGTGGACACGAGCTCTGTGTGCTGGGAAGGAGAAGTGTGGGAGAATCCAGGGGCATCTTAAACATAACCTACTTCCACAAGTCAGATACAGATAAGGCCTTGGGCCTGAAACCAAGCTAAAGAACCCTTACTTCCTCCTCCCCTCCCCTCCTTTTTTTTTTTTTTTTAACTCAAAGTAAATTTAGAAGAAATCAATAGAGAATGAATTGGGTTCCATTTCAGTGTAGGCAGCCAAAAGCTTAAAGTGGCTAACACTAATCACACAATACCAACGTACACACCTCCAAACCCGCCCTTCTTACAATTCTCAACCTACAGCCGCCGCATCGCCTCAGCACCCTGGACAGCGACTCGCCTCTATGCTCCACCCTGGACCACAGCACCTACTGAATGGTTACTTTTCCTATGGGCACCGCTGCAGACCTTTGACCTCATCTGTGTGGGCTCTAACTCACTCATCTGACAATCCTCATGACTTCTGAAGCTTTTGGCAAGCATCAACCCGGCCATTTCTGTCACTTACAATGTAAAATAGGGGCTGTGGAGAAGTGCTTGCTGCAGAAGCTCAAAGACCTGAATTCAGATCTTCGTACAAAAAACTCAGTGTGGCAGTGTGCAACTACAATATCAGCCCTGGGAAGGCAAAGACAAAAGGATCACTGTCAATCAATGGCCTTCCAGCCTGGCCAAGCTAGTGAGCTCTAGGTTCAGTAAGAGACCTTGTTTGCAAAAATAAAAAACAAAAAAGAGAGAAAAAAAATCTAACACATGTACACATAAATAAATACACACACACACACACACACACCTCACAAACACACATGCACACACAAAGAAACATCCAAATCAGTAAAATAATCCCTGAAGAATGAATGACCTCGTCCTCCTCCTCCTTTGAGATAGGTTCTTATGTAGCCCAGACTCGTCTCAAACTTGGTGTGTAGCTGAGGATGATCTTGAACTTCTGATCTTCCTGCTCCCACCTCCTTCCTGCTGGGATAGTACTAGCAATCATACTCAGGGCTTGGTGCATGCTAGGCAAGCATTCAACAGACAGATTCCCCAGCCCAGCTGCTCAGAGGCGAAGTACACCTGTCTTTACGGGTGGCGCCATCTGACCAGCTCTCAGCTTTGTCAGCTTTTGTCTCTGCTCCTGTTCCACAAAAACTCTCAGTGAGCCCCATGAGGGCTCTGCTCCACTGGAAAGCACCGGGGACTGCCACATCCTCAAGTCTAGGCTCATGGGGAGTTTTGTAGACCCAGCTCAAATGCCGCCTTTTCCATAAAGCCTTTCCCTGACACCCTCCTCCACCTCAATCCCATCACAGCACAAGTCCTTCCTCACTATAGACTCTCAGGAGAAGACAATGGTTCCCACAGCTGGGGATCAATGACCCATACGTACACTGATCCCTCATTACTTATACATTGCAGCAGAAACACTATAAATGGCCATCTCCACAGAGTGTACACTAGTTCACTATTAGAGGAATCACCAAATCAGATAAATTTCATGTAGCCAGAGTGATTTTCTAAAGTGAATTTTTAGAGGAGATTTTTGTTCGAGGTGTGCTTTGCATGCATGTATGTGCATTTCTGCTTAGAAGAGGACACTGAATCTCTTGGGACTGGAGTTTCAAACAGTTGTGAGTCATCATATGGGTGCTGGGAACAGAACCAAGGTCCTCTGCAAGAGTAACAAGAGCTCTCAACTGCTGAGCCATCTCGCCAGTGCCCAACCAGAGCAATTACCAACACTTACCATCATGTAACTAGGTAAACTGGTTAAATAAACTCAAGAATGAACTTGTAAAACATGATGGTTCCCTAGTCCCTTACTAGGAGGTCAGAACTCCCTGTGTCTTCTCATCCCCATGGTTTGCTCTAGTTGAGCTCTGAGCATCACTGGCTTTACGTCATGTGCCCAGTGCAAAATGTCAGAGTCAAGCCCAAGGCCCACAGGTTCCTGTAGTTTTAGTAAAATAGTGAACCCATGTCTATCCACTAATTATTTCTGGTACATCATCATGCTCACAACAATGCTACCAAGGAGGTGGAATGCTTCAATGCTGGAATGAGGAAGCTAAGGCACAGATTGGTCAAATCACTTGCCCAAGGCCATAAAGGCATCCAACAAATGGGTGCTGCATGAGGACCTCTGATGAATCACGGCCTCTAGTGTCACCCTTATGTGGTTCTCTCCCACACTGACTCACAGCCATGGCCAGATGGACATCAGCAAGCTCTGTGCAAGCAGAAGTCAGATAAGAGGCTACCTTGAGGGACTGTGTATGTGATTCCAGGTGACATCCTCAGATCCAATAACCACAGCCACAGGTGATTCACTGACCATGGGAAATAGTGTCATGGCTAGTGTTGACATGCCTGGAACCCAGCTAATTGAGAGACAGGCAGATTGCAACTTTAAGCCCAATGGCAGATCATCTGCGTAGTATGTGCAAGGTTCAGAGTTCAATTCTCAGCACTGAAATAAACAAACAAATAAATAATTGCTATTCAAAGTTTCTAAATTCTGGGGGTGTTTGTTACACAGCAGTGAGTAACTAAAACACTTGACAAATAAGGACTTGAACACAGCACTTCCTGACTGACTCATATTCTATGCTACATTCCTTCTGGCTGAGAGTGGGATGTTCGCGGGAAGATGGGCCCACAGTGGCACTTGGTGAGTATTTGTTGACTATTTGTTGAATACACACAGATTTATCTGAGAAGAAGGAAGATCTAGGGACACAGAAGCAAGAGCACTACTCTATCTGACGATCCTCACTACCCTTTACCCATCCTCCCTCTTTAACAGCTAGGCACAGAGAAGTGCAGGACAAATGTGTCCCTGCCACAGCTCTCTGTCCCCTATCCCACCAGTTATATTCAAAGCAGGCAAAATTGAAAAGCTAGCATAGTTTGGTGTGGTTTCCCCATCTGGCCCCCAACTTCCTGCCTGACCTACCCATGGCATATTCTCTCCCTCCCACTTGGCCCAAGAGCACTTCCCTCCTCTTTTCCAGGTAAAGCCCACACACAAGAAAAGAGGCAGAGAAGCTGAAGTCAAACGAGGGAGGATGGTCTGTGTGCTGCCAGATGGGCTTAGAAGCTAAAGAGCTCTAAACTAGGTGTTTCCAGAAGGCCTCTGCCAGCAGGTGGAGGCTCTGAGGATGAAGAGGCAGCTGGAGGTGTCCACATCATAGTCCTCATTATGCCCCAGCAGGTGGAGAATAAAGGAATGCCCTGCCTATCTAACTCCCTCCAACCCTCCAAGAAGCCTGAGCTTGGGCTCTGCAGCTATAACCCCAAACTGGGTGCCTGCGGAACAGTTCCCCAGCCTGGTAAGGACCCACAGCAGTCAACACAGTCGGTCTTCTGCTTCCCGGTCACCCCACACACTGCCTTTCTGTTCTGAGCACCCCCTCTCATGGTCCTGCAAACAGGCACACGCCTCCCAAGGTCACACACACAGGCTCCAGCACCTGGATCCCACACCCGGAAAACCATATGAGCCCCTCACCGCAGGCTCAACCACAGGGAGGGGACAGGCCTCACAGTTCTCCAGGCTGGCTGTAGGCAGTGCACACAGGCACAGGATCACACAACATGCAAGGCGATGGAGTGGAGCCCACACCTCCAGAGATACTGTGGGCACAGTCACCCGAACAGACACTGGAGTGTGGGGAGGCTGAAACACGCGTGCACACATATGAACACCTCCCGACGATCACACGTGCACACCGGCACGCACCGACAACCGTACAGGTGCCCAGCCAGGCCTCGGGACCAAGACCCTCCCCCATTCCATCACCAGCAGGTGGAAAGAATTGGGGTTTCAGGGCACTCCCCCTTCTTCCTCTCCAAAGTCCAGAGTCCCAGTGGTTTTTTTTTTTTCTGGAGCCCGCCCCCGCCCCCCAACAAGGCTAGGGCAGCGACAGGCGGGAGGGGGAGGGGAAGCCTGGTCTCAAACCCGTTCTGATTTTAATTCTTTAAATTAACCCCTTGGCTACCCAGAGCCTGGCCTGCCCAGAATCCCTCCCTGTTCTGGCGGCCTCGCGGCCTCAGGAGGGCAGCAGGAAAGAAGGCAGGGGAGGAGGGTGCAGCGGCTGTGGTTTTCCCTGCCTAGCCTCTCCAAGAGCAGTCCCGCAGCGCGCCCCAGACTTGCCCTTACCTCCTCTAGCCCTCGGCAAGGCAAGGCACCGCGGCCCTGGGCTGGGGGCGCAGAGGCACAGACCCCGCGTGCCGGGTCCAGACGCAGGGCCGCCACCGGGCCTCGGATCTCGGTCCCCACTGCAGGCTATGGTGGCCGCCGCCGCCTCCCAGTTGGGGCGGGGGCGGCCGAGTCCCCCAGACCCGCGCAGCAGGGAGGGGTTCGCGTTGCAATCACGGGCGGGGTACGCAGGGAGGAGGGGAAGAGAGGAGGGGGCGCTCGGCCCGGGCGCAGCCAGGAGACAGGGAGGGAGGCGGCGGGGAGGTGGGGCGGAGCCGGCCCCTCCTCCGGGGCGGGCTCTCCAGCAAGCGGGGAGCGGCAGATGCAGCCAGGAGCGGTTGCGCCTGGACCCCACGTTTTCCGCAGAAGCTGGTGGCTTGGGTGGGGGATGGGTGCCGCCGGGCTGTGGGGAGTGCAGCCTTCCCCACTCCAGGGACCACCACCCAGGCATTCTGTGCCTCGGATCTTCCAGCTGTGGCCTCTGCTGCCCACCTTTAATCAGGGCCTATCCACCCTCGCCCACCCTAGAGGGCTTGGCCTGCCCTCAGTGGGAGCACATCTTGGATGGGTGGTTCTGAGAACTAAAAAAAGGTTGGCACGCGCCACGACATACATTACAGTTCTTTAGCGGCCTCTTGGGCTGTGAGCCCAAGTAGGGGCATGTGCCAAGTACGGGCGATGCACTCTGTGACTTCAAGTCAGCGGTGTGGTCTTTGGGTAGATCTGGCTACAGCTGAGCCACACTGTGTTGTGTTCCCAGACCTAATGTTGTACTTTTAGGTGTCACCCCCATCCTCTTCTGGACCTACAAATGGAAAGAAGCAGGGAATATGCACTGGCTTGCTCCAGACAAACCCCAAACTTGCATACAATCGCCCCAAGATTCCGAACCTGAAGCATCTAGAAGGCCCCTCACCCTTGGCTTCAGGCCTACCTAGCTGCTGAGGTAGGTCTGCACACTCCATGCCGTAAATTGTCCTATGCTAGAGGAAGTCCTCAGAGCTGACGTTGAACTGGGAAAGGAATAAACAAATACAACAACAACAACAAAAACGCTTGGGGTTCCAGAACAAGCCAGGGATGAACTGAGTTTAGGATGAGGAAAAGGGAGATGATACTCCTACCACACATGGTGCTTCAGACAGGCTGCACCAGGCCCTGCAGCAGAGCAAAAAGCCAGCATAGCTCCAGGACTTTCTAGAACATTGGAGGGAGGCTTCAGTGACTCCCATTGACCCCCATCCCACTCCTCTGAGGGCAGAGGCCCCAGACACAGAGTATGGGCGAGGGGCCTGTAGACCCGTCAGGTGGTTTGGGGGAAGAATAAATCCAACAAGAATTGTACAGTGGCCAAACAGATGAAGCATCCTCTTTTTTCCTTTCTGAAGCTCTGATGTCATTCCACCTTCAGGAAGTCTTCTTAGATTGATAAGGGAAATCAAATAAATTCCTGTCAATCAAGAAGCAGGCATCACAATCATGCTAACCATTTTACTACACATCATTCACTTTCCAATAGAGTAACCTAGCAGAAAGTATTCATTTTATTTTTTAATTTTTTTTATTTATGCACATTGGTGTTTTGCCTGTAGACACGTCTGTATGAGGGTGTCAGGTACCCTGGAACTAGAGTTACAGACAGTTGTGAGCAGTCATGAATTGAACCCCAGTCCTCTGCAAGAGCAGCCAGTGCTCCTAACCACTGAGCCATCTCTCCAGCCCCAGAAACTATTTACCCCCACTGTGATGGTCACACTGTCATCCTGACTGTGTTTCAAATCACCTGTGGGGTCGTGTGAAAGGGAGTTTAGAGAGAGGTTTAACTGAGAAGATCCTCCCTTGGGAGCAGCACCGTCTCATGTCCTGAGGTCCCAAACTGAATAAAAAGGAGGACGTGAGTAAGGCACTGTTGTCTGCTTCCCCACTGGGGCTGCAATGTGCCCAGATACTCCCACAGCCATGCTTTCCTGGACATGCTGGACTGCGTCCCATCAATGGTGAGTCAAAGCCATCCTTTCCTGCCTTAAGTTGCTCGTCTCAGGATTTCTGCCACAGAAATGATGAAAGGCACCCACTTCTGCAGAGGGAGGAGCTAAAGTTAAAAGTTCAATGACTGGCAGGGCCAGAATTCGAATGCACAATACCCAATCCATCCTCTGATCAAGCCACAGCACCCTCATGCCGTCTCTTTGCTACAGTGCAGCTCCCGAACCTGCTCCCGTCCAAATGCAGACTTGACTCTTTCACCTGTCTTTGTGGCTAGCCAACAGTATCCCCGTACCATCCTGGTACCACCTTTGTTGTGATAGTGCCCTTACTCTGTGCTTTTTATATATAAAACAAAATCGACAGCATGCTGTGTGCTTGTATGTGTTTTGTGTATGTATACACGTGGATTTGTATGCATATGGAGGGGTACACCTGTGGCTATGCAGGTATATACAGATGCATGTGTGTATTTGTGAGTGCATGGCTATATATGCCTGTGAATGTACATGTGTGTATGTGAAAGTGGGTGTGCTGTCCTTATGCACGTTAAGTACACACATGTATGGCTATACATGCTTGTGAATGTACATGTGTGTATGTGAAAGTGGGTGTGCTGTCCTTATGCACGTAAGTACACACATGTATCCCCATAGTGCAAACATATATGCATGTGCGCATGTGTGACCATGCTATTTTCCACAGACAACAGTTCCTGCTTGGTTGTTATGGGAACCACTGTTCTAAAAATGCGAATCCCACTCCATGTGGGCCAAAGAAAGCAAAGAGAGAAGGCTCAGTGACAAACACACCTAGGGCTCCCAAGGCTAAGGCAGGGAATCGCGAATTCAGAAGCAGGCAACTGTCAGGGGTACAGCCCTACACTCAGGACGCCACCATTGTGTCAGGGCCTTTCCCTGCCTCCCACCTTCCCTAGCGTCATGGTCTCTGGCTATCTTCTCACCTCCTCTTCTTCTGTGAACTGGTCAGAATAGTGGAGAAATCTTTAAGTGAACTAGGTCGACCTGGTGAGACTGGGGTTGCGTGTGTGGATCAAACAAGGTTTCCACCCTAGAGGGAGCTCAGAGGTGGCACTATTTGGGTATTAGATTGCAAAGGGAGAGGATAAAGAGATAAGGGAGGAAGATGAATTCGGATATGGAAGGTTTTACCCTCACAGTGTGTGTGGTTGCTTTTTCAAAGACTTTTTTTTTAGTTACATGTATGTTTGTGTGAGCACATGTGTGTAGGTGTCTGCAGTGGCCGGAAGAGAGCACAAGCTCCCCTGGAGCTGGAGGTACAGGTGATTACGAGCTGCCACGCGGGTTCTACTCCAATAGTAACAAGTGCTGTTAACCACTGAGCCGTCACTCTAGTCTTCGTGTAGGTGGTTTGGTTTCTGAGATAAGGTCTCTCTCTGGGCAGCCACAGCTCTGGCTGTCCTGGACTCACCATGGTAGAACAGGCTGGCCTCAGACTCACAGAGATCCACTTTGCCTTCACCTTCTGAATGCTAAGATTAAAAGCATGTCACCATGCCCCAAGTGTATGTGATTTTAAAATAATTAGTGTGTATACATGTATGTGAGTGTGGGCTCATGTGTGTCATGGCTTTTATGTGGAGGTTAGAGGGCAACTTTCTGGAGTAATTTCTCTTTTTAAGATTTATTTATTATGTATACAACATTCTGCCTCCATGTATGCCTGTCAGAAGAGGCACCAGATCTCATTATAGATGGCTGTGAGCCACTATGTGGTTGCTGGGATTGAACTCAGGACCTCTGGAAGAGCAGCTAGTGCTCTTAACCTCTGAAGTAATTTTTCTCCCCCCCCCCATTTTGTTAAGGTGGGGTCTCTCTTGCTCTACTTCTCTGCCCTGCATACTCCGTGCTAGATGCCCATGAACTTCCAGGCAATTCTCCTATGATTTTCTTGTCTGCAACTCCTATCTTATTGGAGAAGTGCTAGGATTACAGATTTTGTGTCTGGCTTTTAAGTGGGTTTGGGGCAATAAACTCAATGGGTTTGGGGCTTGTGTGGCTAGTGGCACTCCCTGCCCCCAGCCATCTATGTATTTTGGTACAGGGTTAGATGTCTTTGGCAGTTTGACACTATTCATGAATGATCTTTTAAGGAATTTCTACCATTAGTGCTATGGAATGGGAATGGAAGGAGATAGCATCAATAGGGAATTAACAGGAACAGTTAGGTAGTTCAAACTCGTTATACTGATCTTATTTCAAGCAGGGAACAAGTTGGTTGGGATGAAAGGAAGGGACAGAACAAATGTTCGAGGTCGCTTCGTCCAGTTCTTCCAGATCATGTCTCATCAAAATTCTTATTTCTGGGCCTGAAGATGTAGCTCAGTGGGAGAGTGCTTGCATAGCATGCAGGAGGCCTTGGGTTAGCTCCACAGATAGGTAGACAGGTAGGTGCAAACTTTTATAAAGGGAATGAAATTGAGAGAGGAAAATGTCAACATAAAAGCATGAGGTGTTGAACTGAACCCCTAGAAGGCCTAGGAAGGGAGTCTACTGCCTGTAGATCCTTTGGGGGAAGGAGAAGCTGCCTCTGAGAAATTACAACTACTTATATCTGCTTGGAACGGGAACTCCAAGTTAAAAAAAAATGTCAAAAGACTCAGCTGGGTGCAGTGTGGGTTGTATGCAATGCCAGCATGGGGGACACAGAGACCACACAGTGAGCTGGAGGAGACCCTGTCTGGAAAGAACAACAAACCAAAGACTGGTCACCACTGGGGCTCACACCCCGAGAGTTCCCGGTTAGGGAAGCTCGCCTTCAACCTCTGCCACACAGTGCTGTTGTCCAGGCCAGTCCCCAGTGCTGCTCTTTTGACATCCTCAGGCTGCTGCATACACATGGTGTGCAGACATACATGCAGGCGCACACATACGCACATAAAACAAAATAAGTATTTTTTTTTTAAAAAAAAGAATGTTGCCAGGTGGTGGTGGCACACGCCTTTAATTCCAGCTCTTGGGGAGGCAGAGGCAGTCGGATCTTTGTGAGTTCGAAGCCAGCCTGGTCTACAGAGTGAGATCCAGGACAGGCTCCAAAGCTACAGAGAAACCCTGTCTCGAAAAATCAAAACATAAACAAACAAATAAAATAAAAGGAATGCCAATAAGATCCACTGGGTATAAGCAACAGTCTGGACGTGGATATGGGGAGAGCAATGGTGACTGACAGGGAACTGTAACTACTTAGGAGAGTCTAGAGAACCCAACAAAGGTTTGTCATTAT